TCTATGCATTAGTTTAATACATTTTTAAATGTTTAAGAAATATACATTTTTGTGTTTTCGCTCCAAATATAACAGGACCCCTTTCTCTAATGATTCATTTCTTTGTTTTTCACCTGTTACTATCCATTTTATTTATTTTTTTTTTGTTCTTTTTTTACTTTAAATAAGTAATTTTTTGAAATATATTTTTTAACGTATTACGTATGGAAGAAATTAATAAAGATTTGAATTTTGTTAAGTTGATAGATTATAAAACACTCTTTTAATTGAAAGTTTCTAAAGAATCTTTAACACTATCCGTGACGGCCTATTTCTGGCCCCTCCTTTTTTTTAATATCTAATATTTTTACATGCTGCTAGTGAGAGAACCTGTTGTTAAAATATTTGAATCCCACCACTGGCGCTATAACAAACTATGATTCACGTCACACGAGCTCGACTTCAACAATACGTCTCTCTCTCTGACTGCAGTTCAATTACTCATTACCTACACACATTATCCCGTCACGTTGTGACCATCTTATATATACCAAACTACCCCCAATCTAGTAATCTCCCGATAATTCCCGAAGGTTCGAGAGAAGGAGTGGCGTAATACTAGTCACGTGACCTCGCTGACGCAACATTATAATTAAAACTCAAGTATAATTGCAATCCAAGTAATTTGCAATACAAAAGACATTTGGACAAACATTTATTAGACATAAATAACTAATCAGTCATGACCTTGAAACTGGGTTACATATTTGTTTGTTGAATTTTGTGCTAAAGCTACTCTCGCACCATCCTCGATAGCCTACCCTAATTTAACAGTAATAGACCAAAGGGAAGGCAGCTAGTCAGCACTACCCTCCGCCAACTCTTAGGCTACTCTTTCACCAACAAAAGGTGGGATTGACTGTCACAATATAACACCCTACAGCTGAAAGGAAGAGCACATCAATGACAGGGTTCGAAATCGTGATCCGGAGGTTATGAGTTTAGAGCTCTAATGACCATGCCAGACATATTGAAAGAAATACAAAAGATAATGTACATCAAATAGCAGTTACACCAGAATAAAGACAAACATTCAGTATATGTACAAGCTGAGTGAAAGGAGGCATTATTAAGTGATATGAGTATATCTTAATCTTGTTACAGTGCCTTCTTCTTCTTTTAGAGCAACCATACATACCTTTCTGGGATGAATGCACACAAATAAATAGACTTACAGCTAGCCATAAAGCTCTGATTAGATAAATGATCTCCTGTTTAGGAATTGAACTTGAAGTTAATTAATTACCTAGTCCTTCCATGCATTCTTTTAATGTAGCAGCATCAGCTACAGGGTCGAAAGACTCTTGTGGGAAAAGTGTGGCTTGTTGCTGAAGATGGAAATATCATGGTTTAAAAATCAACCATTCTAAATGATAAACCATAAAAATATTCCAAAAATATTATATAAATTTTGTAGTAATCTATGAATATACCATAATATACAACTTCTTTTTATTCTAAAAAAAATAATGAAATATCAGAGTCATTTCCCCAGATTATGGAGTTATAGCTCTTAGCAATATGCAGTTTAAATCTTTAAGTCAAATTTAAGTCAAACTGTTGAACGTTTCATCATATTTTAATGCAGTGGTTCTCAATCTGTGGTTGGGAAAGGAAGATACAGCATAGTATACATATCCCACTGTGGTCCACCAAGATAAAAAATTCAGGTAGTGCAAAAACATGATGAAAACTATTATTCTTATGTTTTGAAAATACTACTTAATAAACAACTAGCCATATAATTTAAAAGTGACCATAAAAATAAGTGCATGATGATCTCTATGATATGAGAATTCTACATCATAATGTCCCTTATTTCTTCCTTTGTTATATTTTGCATAAAAAATATAATATTGTGCAAATGGATAAAATAGTATAAGGACTTTTAAAAAATCACAAAATACTTACATATAGCTCCATATTGAAAAGACAGTTTAATCCTGGTGACTAGAAGGTTGAGTTTAGTAACAGATACTTTTTTTTTTCAGATACAGACACCTACAATGAAAAGTTAATATGAATAAAAACTCTTGTCTGAAGTGAAAAAGAAACAAGCCATCAAAAAATAATGTTTAACTTGAAAATACTGTCAACTGGAAGGCTGAAAAGATATTTCTAAAAAAAAAAGGAAACTAAGCAGACTGACAAAACACAGATAAAAAAATTACATTTTATATGAAACAGTGTGTATCAACATACCTGTTTAATACAGATAATATAACACATAAATAAAGTTTTTCTTGTCCAACAGGTAGGTAAATAACGCAGGGGCAAAGCACACGGTCGGGTAGATCGGGTAAATACTCGACCACAAATCGGGCTGTTTTGTTTATTTTTTATTAAAATTTTATGCTAACACTCTGAATCAAGTTTTTAGAATCCGTGCTAATGTTAATATTTCGATGTTCATTACGAATGTGGTTTGTAATAGTAATACGCATGTTCGTCGTCCCGCCATAGTATGTATGTCAGGTTACTTTGCATGTTTTTAAGAAAACAGCTATATCTAGCACGTGTCATCAGATTAAAGATATAACAAATGTAATTCGTGCACACTATCGTTCAGCAACATTGTAGCCTAAATCACGAAACTTACGTTAAAATAATTTCTCTGTAGGCCTAAATTTGGTTTTCTATTAATAGTAGTAGTATTTTCTGATGAATCAAGAACATTTGACACAACGAAAATTTTCTTCCGAATAATCGATTATCTGCAAACCCAAAACGAATCTAGTCTTTCGCATGTCCAACTCAAGTAGCCTACAGACGAGTCATGTTGAAATGAAGCGCCAGGCTAGTTTAATAAGTTATCTTAAACCTAAGGTGTCTAGATTAGTTAGAAATTTCATGATTTTAAATTTGGCCTGCATGTATAAGTTTAATGAATAAGTTTGCAACACCTAGATCTCTGAATACATGTGGCTGACAAATCAATGATCATAGACTAGTACCCTTCACTACTGTACATATGGTTATGTTTATAGGTTTAGACCCTTAATGTTTACTGAATGGCAAATTTTGTAGTGTTCAAACAAATTTATTAATTAGATTTTAAATCGCTCATTTGACCGTAATGTCTAATCAATAGAAGTATCTTGCTTAGGTTGATTCTTCAACATTCATAAATTGTTAATTTCTTAATGTAGGTTTGCTGAGGAACCTTATGACAATAAGGTTATTGAAGTTATTTGGGCATAATTGGTTGGAAACCTTTACTTTTCATGTCTAACTAAAGGAATGAAGATGGAAAACTGCGAAGTTAACATCCAACTTACATGAAACTTAGCATGCTTAAACACTGCTATAACTTTAACCTGAAAACTTAGTGTTGGCCAATTGTTAGATGGTAAGACCCCCTTGATGACACCATCAATATTGCGACTTGAGCTAATTTGACGTCTTGGTGTACCTAGTTCAGTCGACCAAAATTTTTTGCTTATGTTGTTTGTTTGCCATATTTTTACATTGGGTAGCTTACACTACAGGCAATACCACCAAAGTATGTATTCTATATTACGATATTTTAACTCTTAACTAATTTAATACTTAACGCGCCCTCAGGCAGTAAATAGTCCTCTTTACAGCATTATTGTTTTAAAATTAAATAACACACGAAAGTATCGGGTTTTGAAATATAATACACGTGCGGAAGTTATGTTTCTTTCATTATTTGAAATCTCATTGCAACCACCAAAAGGACGTTTATAACATTTTTAGCCTACTACCTGATTCGCTACTAGAATGTTTCTCCGATTATTTTAGGTTTTGAAATGAGTCACGGCCACTTTGCTTGCTGCCAATAAGGAAAGTGTATCCGGGAGGTTAACTAGTTTTTCAAAATAAAACCAGTGGCCCAAACAAGGACGTAAGAAACCTCTGAATTTGCACAAGAACAGCCTTCTTTTGAGTTGCTTCAACAGCAAATCCCCAGACAGATTTAGAATATGTTATAGGTCAGAAATTCCGGTTTCAGTTTGGTACCAATTTTTTCCTGGTAGACCTTATTTTTAGGATTCAACGACCATGTTATATAGCAGGGCCTTAGGTAGCAGTAAGACCAATCAGGCCATGGTCTGGCCAGTTTTTCATGGTATGTATAGCTACAACTTTTGTATTAAAACTTGTTTCTTTTAGTTTCACACACTATGTTGTGTGTATGCAGTATTTGTAGTTAAAATGGCTCAGGATTCAATCTCATAGCATTAAATTTTCAAAACTTTTTGAGGAGTATGCCCCCTCCCCCTAGAAATGGCATGCTTTGTATGCCAGTGGTGTGTTTTTCATACATCGTGTTTCACATTGTTTAGCTGTGGAAATGGCCTGGTACCACTCTAAAATTGCTTCCTACAGCAGTGTATAGTCTGACAAATTACATAATCATAGAAGTTTGGTGGTATTTTCCAAGGTTTGATCAGACACGATGGTCGTACTAGACCCCTATACGTGCGAATTTACTACTTATGATACATTATTTTCCCTAAATATAAATATCACATGTAATTTAATTTTCAGTAATTAGAACTTTCCAAAATTTTAATATTTGCCTTAATTGAAATATTGTCGAATGTGCAGTTGAATACAGAGGCGAAATAGTCCCGTCGTGTTGGCTACAATATGGTTATCTCATACGATTATATGTACCACCCTTGACTGAGTACTGCCATGGAGAGTAAAAATTTTACATTTGCCTAAGAATGAGTTTATTTTGTTCTGTACTAGAACTCCGACAATTATTCTTTACCATACATTATTTCTAAACTATAAAAGAACAAGCTGCCCGTCCTTTGTCTAGTTTATGAATTTAAACAAATGTGGGGCTGGATGCTATGATAACTGACACAAAAAATCCTAATTTCCACACAATTTTTTATAACATAACATATCATTACAGTATTAGTTATTACCTGACAAAAAAGTATGTATAAGATTTTAGAACTCAATGTGTATATACTCAAAACATGGCATACACTGTGCGATGGTCATGGTGACTTTGCAGGAAGAGGTAGCGACTAAAGTAGTGGCGGTAGGAGTGTTCTGTTACACGTTTTCAGCACCCAACTCTTAATGTCCTTCCACTGTGTCTTACGTGATTAATTAATTGAAGGTCATTGGGCGTAGGAGTGTGTTACAGGCTGAAGTTCAAAGGAAGAAGTGGGTATAACCCAAGAAACGGCTCTTAAATCAGTTTATGATGGCTGATGGAGTAGAAACTTCAACCGAGTTTATGTAGTATTCCAATAGTGGCGGCCATTTTTTCATTGCATTCCTCATAGGGAGTGCTAGCACACTTTCCGAGATATATATAAGACGTTTGTATGAACTGTGTGTGTTGTTTTATAGAAAAATTAAAAAAAGTTTTTTGTTTTCATGTAGAACGTGGCGCCATCTATGAATGTAGTTAACGTTAACTTACGTCAGATATAATCAATGCTCAGTAACAGCAATAATGGGGATGGAGGGGTTATGAACCTCCCATTAATATGCCCCTTGTCCCATACTATCATCCCACAAAGTTTGGTTGAGATTGGCCCAGCGATCTAGTAGTAGTTAGATAACGGACAATCAGACAGACACAGCTTTTTGTGTGTGTGCTTTATATACATATAGTTTGATTGTAAAGACTGTGCACTTCTAGCCAATTCAAAATAAGTTGTAAACGCTGCCTCAGATTTAAAATTCATCGTAACCAAAATTCCCGGATTCTTTGATTTGTTTGTTTAAAGTTAAGCACAAAACTACACAATGAGTTATCTGTGCTTTGCCCACCACTGGCATCAAAACCCGGTTTCTAGCATTGTAAGTCTGCAGACATACCGCTGTGCCACTGGGTGGCAGGGCTCTTTGATTAAGAATTATTGGATTGAGGAATTTAATAAATATTGAGGAAAACTACGAAAAGACAACACTTAGAACTTTCGAAGATTAAAGACCAAGCATCAGAAACTAAGCATGTCAAGTGAATCAGTCTATTTTTATATACCTTTATCTAAATATTCATGAAAAATAGTATGTCGAAAAGGAATTATATAATCTTCATTTAGATGTTATATTTGTTTGAAGTTAAGCACAAATGGGCTATCTGTGAACACACCTATGAACACACCACTCGGCTTCACCCTATCTAAAAGCCTGACGAGTTAGTACCAATTTCCGATGTCACATAGCAGATCTGAGCAAATAAAATTATTTTTCCATCACCCATTTTTCTCCCCCACCCCCAATTTAATCCAACTAACATAGAGCAAATGTAATGTGTTTAACAAGAAAACACGTACAAATGAAAATGAGGCAAGCTAAGAGAATGAATGAGCGATCAGGTGCGACATTTGGGGCAGTCGAGGAGTTTGCAGAACATCTCAACCATTTATTTATGGCTTTTACTGAACTTTACAATGTTAAAAGATAGCAATAACTCTCCCAGTTAACACAGCCGGCTGTGAAAGAAGCTTTAGAAAACTAAAACTGATCAAAAATCACCCTAGAACCAATATGGCAGATAAGAGACTGAATAGTCTAACAGTAATTAGTGTGTACAGAGAACGTGCTCTTTCCACTGATCTTGATGATGTTGTTGACAGGTTCGTTACTATGTTTTCAAATACAAGGTCGACGTTGAGTTAACGTCTAAGAGTAGGATCGTTCGGTCGGTGTCTAGTCAAGTTCGTGCTTTTGACCATTATTCATCAGTCCATTTTTAAAACAACTTGTTATATCTCCTCCCCTCCCCCCCCAAAAAAAGAAGAAATTATTAGATATACTAAAATGGTCAAAAACCTTCTGATTCTTTCCAATACAAAGTACTTTTTGAAACCCAACTTTGGCTCAATGTAACTTAGCACGTTAAAATTTGGGAGGAAAGTCCTAAGGATGTGATGTACAGTTTCTAGCACATTTCAAACTAGATTATATAAATATATACGAAATAGTTAAGAGTTTGTATAGTTAGTTTGTTTCAAGAAAATGGAGTTGTTTCGATCAGTGTGTGAAGTATTTTGGACCTACGTTAGCCATCACGCTTACTGAGATGCTTAATGCAAGTAAGTTAATCCTATGTTAGTCCTAGTTCTTTTTTGATAAAAGAATTAGCACAAAGGATCACATACATTGCATGTGATCCTTTGTGCTAACTTTTTATATTAAAATTGATATTCCACTGATGGACCTCGGACCCGATTTTACCAATGGTAAGCTACCTCTTCTTTCACCTTACATTGCAAACTATTTGAAAGCGCTCCAATTTTATGTCTTATTTTAAGTCTATTAGTCCTAGTTCTGTTAGAGGTTAATAAGTCATTTGTAATGTAGACCTAGGACAATTTACGCCAGTGTACAAACGTTGTAGAAACCTTAAAGGTGGAAATAAACTAATTTGTGATTGTTACGTGGCCTGCAAATTGAATTATTTTCACCAGATAATTTAAAAGAAAAAAATTGCAACAGTATAAACATTACAACTATATAATATGTCCAATAACTTGATTTTCATTTCAAATGTTTTAGTTTATAACAAAATCCGCAAAGTTAGCTTTATAAAATAAAGTAAAAGTAAACATCGATTTAGTGTGTGGATGTAAAAGTTGAATCTACTAAACTTTATTAATTAATAACTTCAATATCTGGTTTTCAGACAAACACATTGATGAACTTGTTTTTTTTTTTTGTTGTTTTTTTTGTCGTGCATCTAAATTCATGTTAGATGTATTTCAAGACATCTGTACTTATGCGATTCTAAGTAAAACAGAAATACTTTTGTGATTATTATAACAATCTAACAACGTAATCATATCCAAATATTAATCATCTTACTTTCGATCAATTTATTTAAAAGCTCAGTTTGAACAAGCAGAGTATGTTCTTACACATGTTTCGTGATCTATATTTGTTTTAAGGTGGGGCAGTTTGGCTTTTATCCAACTATAGTGTAGTAATGCGACATTGTGTGAGGAAACACGCGAGCCATTGGGCAAGCGATAGGAAACAACAGGAAAAAGAAAAATTATCGAGAAGTCATATAAACACACACACACACACACTACGTTTTTAATTATTTTTTCATAATTCGAGATTCATATTCTAAAAGGCTTTGGAAATACAGGGGATGACTGTAAAACCTTCTCGCCGCATAGAATAACTCAACATCGAGTATCACAAAAATATCTCTAAAAGATAATGCGACAAACAGAAAATAAGTCACTGCTGACATTAGAAGTGCGTTATAGAAGTTTCATGGATGTCAAAAATAAATCAGGAAAAAATACGATTAAAATCACGTACTTCACAAAAGTGACAAAAGAACGGATAACTTTTTATCGCATTATCACAACGTTATTTCATATTATTAAACTAAATATTAGCTCTATACTTCAAAGCAATTGCTTAGTTACTTCCACGCGAAAAAAAATCCAAACACGCTAATAAAATACTCTTTATTACTTCCATTAAAATAAATATAAATTAAATGTAACGTATTTCTTCCGTTCTTAAATAAATGTATACTTGTTTAAAAAGGCAAACTAGTTACTTTCTCAAATGCATACGGATGATGTTCAACAGATAAATGAATATATCTATGTTTAAAGTATCTTCAAATCAACTTCCATGTAAATTGGTCGAAACAAGGCTAAGTAATTGACCAAAACCCCTAAAATTATGAGTTTATTTAACATTTTGATCCGAATAAAATGATGTAAAATGGGTATATCAGACATTCTTGTGAGTATATGTATGGAACCTGTAAAAAAAAAGTATTTTTGTACCAAATCCCATGTAAATTGATCAAAATACTCCAAATCCCCCAAAATTATGCAATAGACAACTCAATGTGTTGGGCGCATGAACATTTATACTTGTGCCAATTTTCATCTTGATTGCTGCAAATATGACCGCACAGGAGCCCAAAATATACATTTAGAGTTGTTTGGCCTTTGACCATTTAAAATCCTTACAAAGGCCTAAATAAGGAAAAAATGAAAAAGTGTCTGGGCATATTGGACCAAGGTATAACCTTACCAAGATTCAATCAATCCGCCGAGAAATGAAGGAATGTCGGTCGATTGAAAAGTGTTCGGAAGAAGATGAAATAAAAAATATAAAAACACTATGTCTCTGCAGAGACATAATTAATTTTAAAGCTCTTATTGAAACATGCAGTAAAATACAACGCTTAAAATGCTAGAAAAATGTTTTGCTTGTTTTGTAGACTATGTTTTTGATTTAGACTTTTGTATTATTATTTATCTAGAGGGAGTTTTACCATCAAGTAATGAGCGATTAGCTTAATGACTAGAAATTTCTTGAAGGTTTAGGAAACAATTTTGGTAACATGCAACGCCAGTTATCGGATATGTTAGTAATACTGACTATTACTTAGTCAATAAATATAGTTTTGTAAACTATGTGATTGTGTTTCAACCAAGTACTAAACTGAAAGATACGGGAGAAGGTAGCAAAGTAAGTGACTGTTTATCGTTATTTCTGAAAATAGGCCTATAAGCTAGGCGTTGTGAGTTACAGATGAAGAAATAAAACTTTTTCGGTATCAATAAATGGACTGGACTTAGCATTATTTTTTACCGAATAAGCCACTAGATCCCGTCCAATAATATAGAAACCTTTATAACAACTGGATATTCCGACACTAGCACTATAGAAACTGGAAAATCCGAAAATACAACTTGTTCTAATTTTTAAAACTGTCGATAGTTCCTTATAACCGCATGCGCTTCACAACTGCATAAAACTTATTGAATTATTGAACGAGAATGTTTAAAATTTACACCGTTAAAAACATCATAATTTTATAAACATTGATAATGTTCCTAAAAGTGCATGAAATTACCTCTAACATTTCGATAGGGTTGTAAAATCACTCATGGATATACTTAATTTTGTAGTTTATATATATATATATACACACACACACAAACAGTTTAAAAGTGAATCACATAATCTTAAATCTTAACGAAGACTAATACATTATATCGGTTCAACGGTAAAATTGTAGTTTAACTCACCTAATACTTAACATGCATTTTGTTTCATTACACTTTATTCGTTAACATTAGTAATATAATACACAAACATATACTAGTACATTATAAAGTTATCTACGCATTTTGTCATGAATGTCGCCAATGATCGCATTTAACTTTTAAGTTAATGTTAGCAGTATTCATGTCAGATCGCATCAACAACGGCTGTCGTCAACTAAGCCTGTAATAGGTGATCACAAAGAATATTCTAAACTGCTTGTACTACAAAATGATATATTTTTATTTTGTAACAAAGAAGTGGTTTACAAATTAACAATATAAAATGCCTTAACATGGCATATGTAAACATGAATAACCACGAGAAGACACACTTAGATAAAGTTAGTGATAATTTGCAAAAGTTCTTTCTGAAAATTTCGTAGTTTTATATGCAAGCAACAAAGTTTCAAACAACACATATTCCACTTTCGCTTTAGCCCAGCATGGCCAGGTGGTCAGGGCGCTCGACTCGCAATCTGAGGGTCGCGGGTTCGAATCCCCGTCACAACAAACATTCTCGCCCTTTCAGCCGTGGTGGCGTTATAATGTGACGGTCAATCCCACTATTCGTTGGTAAAAGAGTAACCCAAGAGTTGGCGGTGGGTGGTGATGACTAGCTACCTTCCATCTAGTCTTACACTGCTAAATTAGGGATGGCTAGCGCAGATAGCCCTCGTGTAGCTTTGCGCGAAATTAAAAAACTTTCGCTTTAAGTACTAAAACCTGATTAAACAAAATGTTTGTACATCTCAGCATGTGCAGTCATAATTTTTAAAATCTTTATTAATATAAAAAAGAACATATCAAGAAGGAAATAACTTAGTTTTTCATTTTTCCAATCACTTCACCGGCAGCATAAAATAACTGTACCTATTCGAGTTTAATTAGAATTAAGTTACCATAATAATGACTAAATATGTATTCTTTTATTGAAATATGCTACCTTTCTTTGTAAATTACTATGATTACTGCGTGTGTTATCGATTAAGTCCAGTGTTTCCCAAATATTTTATACATTAATTGTAGTTTCTGTATCCTTGGTACTAAATTACATTTCTTTACAAGCAGTCTCAGTTAAATCACAGTATGTAGTGGAACATAGTATTAGCAGTTAAAGCGTGTGTATAAGTACTCATGCTGAATAATTAATCTTTAGTAAATGGTTTGTTTGTATTTAAGCACAAAGTTACACAATGGGCTATATATACCAAAGGTATCGAAATCTAGTTTTTATCGTTATAAGTCCGCAAAATTATCGCTCTGTCACTGGGAGGAGGGGCTTACAAAATGGTATCGAACTTGCTATAACGTTGGTGAGAGAAAACGCGAGAGAGGGAACAGGAATATATTATATTCTCGAAAACCACGTGCATTTACTAGAAATAGAGTGTATATTTAAGTATTTTGATTATATAACATTACTCTTAGAGACTATGTTTTACTTAGGTTAACTTAAAACATTATTACTACTATTCTAACTCCTTATGAATTATTGATTATAATACAGATGTACATAAATATAAAGAACTTAACTTGAATAACATTCACTGGAGCAACCACACCTTACCGGGTTTAGAGAGCGGGAGTCCTTCTAAAGTCTGTAGCTATACTTCTACTACGTACTGCTGCGGTCCAGTTTCAGCTTGTTCCTACGTTAGCCACGTCATCACAGGAAGAACCCTGCCATAGACGTCGTAAAACAAAATTCCATCTGAGCTGTTGTTTTTAGTCTTTTACTTAAAGTATAATAATCGTATATATACTAACGACCCCATTTTAATACATAGTGGATTCAGTAATGGTCAATATATTTTGAATAGTACATTCAAAATTATTTGAACTTTTGAACAAAAGAAGAAAAATCTACTCAAACTATTCACAGGCACATAACATAGAGAAGAAAGGGAATGTGTCCTCCCCCACTTTTTCCTGTTAGTGTACACACATGATTATTAACAACCACGTTAAATCGACTTAGCTTTACCCCACCCACTACTTTCCAGCGGAGTTAGGCAGCCATGGAACTGTTTCTATAACATAAAAATATATTTAGCCGCCCGCACATCTTTGAAAGTTAAGGGCATATGCTGGAGAGCATTCACATACTTTAAAGCCCTCGACCAAAATATATGACTATCTTTGTTTCAGTGAGGAGGGTGTGTGTGCTGTATTCTTGGCTTTTATTCTATAATAGGCAAAACCACATTTTAATAATTGTTGTTGTCGTTTGTTATTAAGCACAAAGCTACGCCAAGGGCTATCTGTGCTCTACCCACCACGGGTATCGAAACCCGGTTTCTAGCAGTATAAGTCTGCAGCCATAACACTGTGCCACTGGGGGGGCCACTTTAATAAACCCACGATTTAAATCAAATGAAATATTAACGACTAAAACTGTCTACACACAAAACAAGGTCCTTTACGAGCAGATGATAACTAGTCAGTAATTGATAGTGATTTTGTTCATCTCACTCCATTATTTGTATTTCCATCAATATGGTCAACTCTTTCTTTTTTATTACATCTAATTTTTGTGTCAAAACTCACCCCTAAACAGGTAGATAGCAAGCTGGCCCAACTCAGTCCCAATCCAACAAAGTCTACTTGTGAAATATATAAAATTAATACTTTCTTGCCTCCAAGGGTCCCTTTGAAGATACTTAATCCCAACTCATACAAGTCCAATTGTAAAATAAACAAAGTTAACACTTTTGGGACCCAAGAGTCCACCTGATACACGGTCAGACCTCTTGAAAGGCCCACCTGACACTGTGTACAGTGCCAGCAAGGAAGTCTTTGAGGCTTAGATCATGAAGCCTTTAATATACAAACAACAGTTAATACAAATAATGATTTATATACAAAAGTTTCACAAACTTACAAGCAATATAAAGTCTTCTTTCGAGTTGACGTAGGTATAATTCACTTAATAGGGAGCTAGCTAGCCCTGTATTTCTCGCTGATCACACACCGATTACAGGTCTAGTTTCCATCGATGACGTTAGGTAATGTTGTTGTAGAAGTACTAATATCCGATGTGAATCCACTGAAGTTAAATAGTTTGTGATGTTCGAAGCATTCCTGGCCAAATATCTGAAGTTTTCCGATTAATAAGCGTTAATCACAGTTATAGCTTACAGTAACCCAGTAATAGATACTTCTTTTTTTTTTAGGTGCGTGGCGTTGGTTCTATTTATAGGCGTGTGGAGAGTTTCTTGAAAATTCAGATTACGTAACAATACAAAGCTACACTGGCGTTTACGTACACACATATATTGTTGATTCTTACAGTCGAGAATCTTCTACAACTTTAGAGAATAGGCGGGAGTTTTGAAATACATATTTAACACTATAAGCTATGCATATTTTCTAGCCCCCAGTGGCACAGCGGTATGTCTGCGGACTTACAACGCGAGAATTCGGGTTTTGATACTCGTGGTGGGCAGAGCACAGATAGCCCAGTGTGTAGCTTTGTGCTTAATTACAAACAAACAAGCATATTTCTAAATATAAACTTAATATAAACAAACGTTGATATCAAAAGTGTTTAAAATGTAATGGGTCTAATACTAATGTCTCACGCCAAACTTATAATCATTCTTCGTCGGTTCATAAAACGCACATACACCGTAACAATTGTAAGTTTACAATATATCTTTATCTCATAACGATTTGTTTATTTGTTTGTAATTAAGCACAAATATACACACTGAGCTAGCTGTGCTTTGCCCAATACGGGTATCGAAACCCGGTTTCTAGCTTTGTCAGTCCGCATGCCGCTATGCCACTGGGGGTGTCATAACGAAGATGGGGTTTGAGTGCTAGTGTTTTAAATGAATAAAAAGAAAAAGATTAACTTCCTGAATTATGAAACATTTGTCATATCTTAGTTAATTTTAGTTATAATATGACTACCACCCAGAGACGTAACGCAGGATGTGTGGGCTCGCCTGCGAATTTTCCCATCAGGCCCCCTTTTGGGCCTGGTGGTTAAAGTGTTCGACTCATAATCTAAGGATCGCGGGTTTGAATCCCCGTCACACCAAACATGCTCGTCCTTTCAGCCGTGGGTGCGTTATAATGTGATGGTCAATCCTACTATTCGTTGGAAAGAGTAGCCCAAGAGTTGGCAGTGGGTGGTGATGACTAGCTGCCTTCTCTCTAGTCTATCACTGCTAAATTAGGGAGGCTAGCGCAGATAGCCCTCATGTAGCTTTATGCGAAATTCAAAACAAAATCAAACACACCATATCCGATTTATTATAACGCTATGAGCTCGTATTTAGCGTGCCTCCCACCCCACACCGCGGGGTCTACTGTTACCCTCACTTAATTCATTCCTCATAAATATTTTTTACAATTATTTACCAGGTTATTGACGTTAAGCTAACTTGGGTTTATTTACCCTATCTCTACCAGTAGTATCGTGTAGCTATTATTAATCTTGATCTCCAGTTCTTTATATTAACCCTCTATTGCATATATTACGAAAATAAGGTGGATTTTTTTTTTAATTTCTTACTCACATAGGTCTATATTGCACAGAAATTTTGAGAAATGATCGCACCAAATCCAAAGACGGTGGCTGTTTAATTTATAAATCTTAATTTAAAAGCAGTTATATTGAATGAACTTACATTTGCAGAAGGCACTGAAACTCTATGGGTAAAAATTAGTACTACCAAAGGATTGTTGTCACAGCACTTCGGTATCAATTACAAGAGAATGAAGGGTGCACCATCTATTGACAGATAAAGAAAGTCGTAAAATACGTAATTTTAGCCAAATTCAATGTTTTTGTACATGCGATATACATTAGGTCGTCACGAAATTAACGTCAAATTAGTGTAGCCTATATAATGTGAGAAGTTTAGTGTACTCTTATTGTGATGGCACACGACGAGAACAGATTCGGCATGTAATGCTGTTTGAATACAAGTGAAACAATGCCTCTGTAGCCACAAATAATATGAAAGAAGTTTATGGAAATGTTTCGTAAGTGTCAACAGTGGTTGAGCAAATTTCGTCCAGGTGACTTTAGCTTTAAAAACTGTGATGGGAGGGGCCAAAATTGATATTGATGCTATGTCTATTTTTGGACAGCATATTAAATTCCAAAAACAATGGCTCAGTTCTAGACCAAAACTACTTCTTGTTAGTAGTAAGAGGATTTGTTTTTTTCAAAACCATTATTATTTCTGATTGAGAGTGAATGGCGTTTCTGATGAAGGGCTTGATTTATACATTCCAGTTGCTGATCTCTGCATTGAAAGTTCACTGTGAATTACTCCTTTGATGTCGCACCAAATATAAAGCATTACTTTGTGCAGATGGAGTGCAGGTTTTGGGGTTTGTCAATAGATGACGCAACCTTCATTTCTTTCATTTAAAAATATCATTTTCGATAAAGAAAACCCTAAAGTACGTATTTTTAGCAAAAATGTATGTTTTTGTACTTTTAATGATTGAAATAAATGTTCTAAATCTATTTTTGGATTACTTTGGAGGCCAGTGAAGATGAAGTGGTTCCTCCTGGACGGTACAAGTACCCCGGAGCGATGAACCGACGTTAAGGGCTCATTTAATGAACCCACGCTTTCCACCTCCACCCCAACTCACTGTGTGTGCACACAATCATAACCCAAGACCAGGGTCAGAGGATTAATAGGGAGGACACTATACGGATCCTAGGCCATGAAGTATAGTACCACGCATGCCCACACAGCTGCCAGGCCAGGCCCCACTAAAAATCTGAAGCAAAGAAACAACTTAATATAAGGTTTGCTACGTAAAAAGAAATTGGCTGTTAAGTAAATTCAGACCTAAATTTCCAGTTCAGAAAGCTGTTGTTTACTTATAATATTCGACTATTTGATAAAAAATATATTATTTTAAAACCTTCTTTATGTTTTTCATTAAATTCTATTTGGAAAGAATTCAATTATGCATTCATAGACTCTCTTACGATCACAGAGAAGTTGCAGCCATCTAGTGAACAAAATGAAAAATACATTCAAGGTTTGCTAAAAATGAATATAGTGATGTTAAATTAACTTAGACTCAAATTCCTTTTTCACAAAGCTGTCAATTTCCTAAATAATAGAACTATTTGAAAAATATTATTTTATTTTAAGTTTTTCTTTATGTTCTTCATTAACTCTAGTTGCAGAGATTTTATTTATGCATTGAGAAGACTCTTATTGGTTCACCTAGAATGTTCTGCCACCTAGTGTTTGAAATGAAAATTACATTCAATAAAGAAAATCATAAATTACTAAAATTTGAAGCTGTTAACTTCAACTTACTGACTAGATCTTTGTTACTTATTTTTGTTTCTACACTACAAAACATTTCTAGATAACGAGTAGATTAACAATGTTATTAGAAATTAGTTAACCCTTTTTGTTTCAGAAAAACAGTCTTTCTGAATGATGACTTCTTTTAGGAGAATGATTAGAAAACGTTATTATACAAAAGCTCTGTTAGAAATGCCGATTTCTGTATATCTTATAAAATTAGTATTCAATTTAGAATGAATAAATAATGTTACTTAAAACAAAGATGATGCATTTTTCTTCAGACAAATGATATTTCTCTATTTACTATTTATCTCAACTATGCATTTGACATAGTAAAGGATAGTCCTCAAAAAATAAAATTCATTTGAGAAAACTACATCAATTCACAATCTTTATTTGATTTTTTCTCCTTTGC